TTGAGCACATGACATTTACACCTACTATGACAAATGAGTTCACTCCCAATATAAACTACATGGAAATCCAGATACGGTGATGAAACAGAACAATGATGAAATCATCCACAAAAATAAATGCGGCCGCAATGGACAGGATGCAGCCCATGCAGTTTAAGTTCTGCTTTATTGACTATTTAAGGCGAGCTAGTAAGAGTCTTTAATATATTCTCTCTGACACAAGAAGTGAGCACTGAAGATCTACTGTGACAATGGAGACACGCAGGATCCTCATGAGGAGTTTGGCTGTTGCGGTGGTCATTGCATCTGTGATCTGGACTACAACAGGTGAAAAGCTTTAACTGTTCATTCATTCATTATTCTATCTGATGGAACAATGCAGAATATTGAGGTTTACCCAGTTCTTTTGCCTTACTGTTGCTGCAGGTACTGAAATTGTGTACTCGTGCTGTACTAAAGTCTCCACAGCCAAGGTGACCGATCCCATCATCGAAATCAGGATGCAACGTCTAAGTCTTCCATGTGTGAAGGCCGTCATGTAAGAATCACAGTTCTTCTAAAGAAAACATGTCATTGGTCTAACTTAGAGATCAACAGCATCTGATGTTATATTTCTTTGTTTTCAATGTTTTCACTCTCTTTTACAGCTTTGAGACGGAGCAGGGAAAGTTCTGCAGTGATCCTAGACAACGATGGGTGGAGAAGAAAGTTAAACAGTTTTTGTAAGTTAAACCCAACTAGTATGTTGAAATAAAGCAACATAAAAAGCACATAGTGTTTTAGTGTAGTATTCTTGTATTCATGCTGTTTTTGTTTTGTTTGTTGTTTTTACAGCAAAAACACCACGCCACGACCAACATCATCTATTAGCAACTGAGCTCGTGTGGGAGGATCTACCCAAGCAACTGTCAGCTTATTATGAATCATGTCTAAAAGTAATGAGAACACATCTCTAAGAAGTTACAAGTTTTAAAATTATTTTAAAATTTTAAATATGAGAAAAATGACATTTTTATGTTGTATTTGGAACATGTTTGTAATTTATGCATATTTCAATTGAATATATAAAATATTATGTATGTTGGCAAATACATGTTTTGCTATTTGAAAGTGAAAGTTCTTAATTTATTCAGAAACTGAATTATAGTGAAACTGTAACAAAAGTGGTTTAAATAAAATATTAGTATATATTATATTTCACATTGGAATATATTGCACGCAATGTACTGGTAATGGACTTGTGTCATTAACTCATGAGTCAAGAAGGCTGACGCAAGTCTGATTGAATTTTAGACTGATTTGTGTGAGAACAAACCTGGATTTTTTTGTCATTTGATGAAGCAAATGAACAGTCAAGTCAAGTCAAGTCAAGTTTATTTGTATAGCGCTTTTCACGATACAAATCATTGCAAAGCAACTTTACAGCAAATTAAGTTAACAGCTGCAATCTGGATCAACAAATAAACTCTGATCAGCATCTACTGGTTTTTCTTGTGGTTGATGTTTCTGAATGTGTGCAAGAGGTCCTTCTTCAGACTTTAAGACATCTTTTCATCTTTATTCTTTTCTTCACAGCTGGTTGCAGGTTATGTACTATTTATTGCTATGTATTGTACCTTGTACTACTGATAATATATATTTCATCATCCATAATCAAATGTTACATAGCATGAATAAGTTGGTACAGCATGAACTTGAGTGCTGACAATGAGACAGTCTTTTTTGCACCTATTCAAGTATGTTTGACTTATCCGTTTAATTTACGTCAAAACCAAAATATCATCAAGCCACATTATATTAAAGACATAATAGTTGGACTTGGACATTCCTTGAACTTGCATTTTTATGTCCCAGGGGTTACATTTTATTCAACAGATTTCATTTTTCCCATCATATAAAGGTTAAGTCCGTAAAAATAGTGTGCAGTGTACTGTGTTAATATGAAGGAATTTTCTGTATAGATTTTTTTTCTCTTACAGTGTATATTTTACTAATACTCTTGGCTCTTTAAATATTCAAATATGAAAATTAATTAAAAAATATGAATAATATTATTTTATTCACCACCCTAATTTCTTCTGTGGCATCCTGAGGTGTGTCATAGAGGGACGGTATGTGCCATCTAGATGGCTGCAGCATGGGGACTACAAACCAAGATGGCCACCTGGTCCCGAACTACAGTTACCATGTTCCTCAGCGGGGGAGACACAGCTGTTGGGAGTGAAGGAAAAAAGCTAATGATGAGCTGGGAACAAAGGAACTTTGATTCTCTTTTGTTGGTGTGTGTGGAGAGAAGCTGGATACGTTTTTCCTTTGTTCTAACTTTTGGCTTTTGGAGTTGATGATCAAAAAAAAGAAACTTGTAGCTTGACCTCAGCCTGGACTCGATCTGTGAAGCAACCCACACTTTGGTGATACTTCCACAGAATGATATTAAAAACAATACATAATGTGAGATGTGGTGGAAATGGGAATGTGGTTGAAATATTTTTCTGAAAAAAAATAAATAAATCTGAAGCAAATGTCCTTATACAGTAGTTGAAGAAACACCCAGTTTCTCCAATCCAATAGTTACACATTAGAGACTGAACATTTCAACTTCAAGATGTGCATTTTTGCCTAAAATTAGTTTCTCATAAATTAGGTTGATGGGTAAACTGAATGTATAGTGGGTGAGAGGTGTGAATGCTTTGTTGATCACTTGCAGTGGTTCAAAAGGGTGGTGGTAAGTTTGTGACGCATTATTTCCATCTGACTGCTAATGTACATATCTTAAAAGACCTCCCCTTATGAACACCATCACTCAGACTAAGATCTCTAGTGTTCCACTATACCTGCTGCACAACAGTAACCACACAGACTTCAGACAATGCCTTTGAATATGCTTACACTTAAATTTGGTTTTGATTACCTCAAGTCATGTGTTCCTATGGTTATTATTCAGATGTCTAACCGTTCTGTCCATATGCACGGGTTATTGCCACACACTAACCAAATTTGGCTTGAGTGTTGGGGACATTCGGTACTCAAAATTTAGTATCCTGGAATAACCATTAGATGTCGTTTTTGTATTGCAAGTGTTGTGTTCTTACTTGGTAAATTAGTTGAAGATTATGTTCCTTGCGGGAGACATGCAGTCTTCATGTCTGTTGCTGTGATTGCTGCAAACAGAAAGTAAAGTGTTGACTTAAACTCAAGAGAAGTAGCAACATCATCTTTATTGCAGATACTACACACAAGCATAAAAATGTTAAGCCTGCAAGAAAAAGAAATGTTAGTTATAATTACAAAAAAAATCTAAAAAGTCTATTCATGGGCTGCTGATAATGAGAAACCTTAGGAAGAGCCCTAGATTTGCAGAATATAATACTGCTGTGATCATGAATTTGACTTTTGTCACATGTGGTCTGCAGGCTACTCTGACTGGTTAGAGATATAAAAGAAGTGAATATCCTGTCTTGAAAAACATCATATAAAAAGACCTGGGTCTAGACAGCATCTTCAAAACAGAAGCTAGCCTCCAGACATCTTCCTCTTGTGGTTATCTGAATATTTTACACCAACATCATGCAGCTGTTCTGGAAATTAGCTCTGATGATGATGGTTCTTGTGTGTGTTACTGCGCAGCAAGACGGCTGTAAGTTTTGGGAGGTTTTTCATTGCTGAATTTGTATTTTATAATTGCCCTTTGTTTTGATTATTATAAAAAAAAATCGAATGCGATTTTCATGCGCATTTTGTCAGTAAATCCGCTTGTGGTGATTAGTAGTAAATCTCCAGCACGTGCTTTCAGAAGGAGCGGCATTTGTACTAGCCTACACAGTCGTAGTTCACGGAGCAAGCTACACAAAATCGCGTTCAAAATCGGCAATGAATCGCCTGCGATTTATAGATTATTTCTAATAATTCAACGGCCCGGAGTCAATTATTCCGCTTATACTATGGTTACCACACCTCAAGACATCGATCAGATGATATATTTAAAGGGATTCGTCCGGTTTTTGTACTTAACTCGCTATTGTGAGTAGGATTATTTCTTCCGCATCTCATCCAACGCCGATCTTTTGCTGGTTCCAAAACGTCATTTTAAAGCTGGTAATGGAGGCTTGAGCCGTTGATAGCATTCTAATGCAGTTATTAATGAAGTTATTAGAAAGAGAGCGAGCGAGACAGAGTGACACACAGAGAAAGAGAACGAGCGAGAGAGACAGAGTGACACAGAGAAAGAGAACGAAAGCGAGAGAGAGAGCTTGTGTGAATTAGGCTACCCCTGTCGCACGTCCTGATTCTGCCGAGTTAGACGCGTTCCTGGGTCAACAAGGGAGGTGCTTAAGGTAAAATTGATCAACCAATCAGATTACTCACGTGACATCTGCCAGCTTGAGCGCCACTTTTTGAGTTGTGCCCCTTTGACGTCTCCTTCATTTCACAGAGGTAAGTGCATTTTATTTAAAATGTGCCATTTCAAATGTGCCCATCCCTGCTCAGCATAATGTATTATTTTCAATTGCACGATGGAGTCATAACTAACGCGAGCATTAGCTAAACTGCTCATATAAGGTGCAAATCACCTAACACCTCTCCTATCGGACAGGAAGGCGCCCACGATCGTTTCGCCTGGAGTAATGATGCTGAAAATTCAGCTTTGATCACATGAATAAATTACAGTTTAACAGATATTCACATAGAAAACAGTCTCTGGTATCTGGGGCCAGAATATACATACCTTGGTGCAGCAGGACACACTCTCCTTAATTGCTGTAAAGCTATCTCTACTGTTGCCTCTTTCTCATTGCTTGTTACTATGAAAGCGACTGGAACTCCATGGCCATAGTCATCTCTTATAGCCAGGGTATAAAGTGGAAAATTATACTGGTTGACGCAATGGGTGGCATCCAAAAATATAACGTTCTTTCCATGTCTGTGTAGATTCTCTCTCATGTTGGGAGTCTGAAGGATAATTATGAGTTCCTTCTCATGGGAAAAAGGCTGAAAAAAAAACAACATTGTCCTTGAGGTGACTGGTCAATAATTTGGCTGAACTAACAGCATCATCTTTATCCAAATGGCTTCGGCGTACCAAGCATGTGCGTATATTCTCAATGTCCTTTGGAGTGACAAAGAACTGACGGTTGTTCAAGTCAGTGTGTCCGCGAGATCTGGACCATTTGTGGGCTTCCAGTAGAATGATATCTGGCTTGACACCTAATGAAATCCATTCTTCAATTTGTTTGACCAAATCTGGACACACTGTTTGAAAGTGTCCTTCTTGTTCAAAAGTTGCATTGTGCCCATTGTGCTCTTTGCTGGTGCGTTGTACAATGACTTTGTGGCTCAGCCAATCATTTTTAACCTTAAATGATGTGTAAGCCATACACCCTGAGGTCTTGTAACTTCCATCAACGGGGTTCCCTGACCGGATACAGTAGAAAATGTAGTATCCATTATCCTTGTCTTTTTGACTTGCAGAATTTGTGTTTCTAAAGTTTGTTAAAGTTTTAAGTTTTTCTTGAATGAATGTTTCATGATTTGCTTCTTTCTTCAGGACATGCACATCAACTGTAATATTTTTGTTTTTTCCTCTTTGTCTTTCTTCACGCAACACTGTTTTCTTAATACAATCCTCCATTTCTCTTTACATTCTGGGGAGAAAAACATTTATTAACACTAGGGTTGTTGCCTAAGGATGAAGCTCTTAGTAACAATTTATAATAAAAACTATCACCAATTATTATATTCTTAAGATAGTGTAACCACCATTATTATTAATACAACTTCATGATGTTCCCAGGCCAACATTAGACTGCAAATGCTCTACACAATATTTGAATTTCATTCATAACACCCTGGCTCAGCACAAGATATTTAATTATTAGGGGCCAAGCACCGAAGGTGCACTATTGTATATTGTAATCGTTATCGTTAATTTTTTTCTTCCGCCGCAAGTCTATGGCAGCCCATAGAACGGGAAAGTTGAAAGTTGTGAAATTTGGCACACTGATAGAGGGCAGTCCCAACATTAACCATAGCAAATTTGGAGTCTCTGACTCAAACTCTCTAGCACCACCACTTGTCCAAAATTTCAAAAATGTTATGCTAATAAATAAAATTTAACTAAAATGAAAACTAAAATTATTTTTTCCTCTGATTCCTTGGCTCATGCCGAGTCGAATGGACACCAAAATTCAAAAATCGTAAGGTTTAGTTTTTTTGCTATTTTTAATTTTTCATAAAACCTACTTTTTTGAGCTCGTCCCAGGCCGATGAGCTATAAGGAATGAAGTCCCAGGGTCAGCATAAGAATATGAAGTCCCTGGGTCAACCCAAGATATTTCATTATAATAATAATTATTATTATTATTATTGCAATATAGTGATAGATTACTCTTGGTCTTATATTAGATATTGTATTATTATTATTATTATTAAATACAGTGATTAATTACTGTTTGTCTTATATTAGATGAGCTATAAGGAATTGTATTATTATTAATTTTAAATACAGTGATTAATTACTGTTTGTCTTATATTAGATGAGCTATAAGGAATGAAATCCCTGGGTCAACACATGATATTTCATTATCATCATCATTATTATTATTATTATTATTATTGAAATATAGTTATAGATTACTCTTGGTCTTATATTAGATTTTACATCATTATTATTATTATTTAAATACAGTGATTAATTACTGTTTATCTTATATTAGATGAGCTATAAGGAATGAAGTCCCTGAGTCAACACAAGATATTTCATTATTATTATTATTATTATTATTATTATAAAAGGTCATTTTTAAAAGGTTTTAAAAAATTGTATTACAAAAACTAAAATATTAGGGCTGGTAATTTAACGCGTTAATTAGATTAATTAATTACAGTGAAAAATATTGCATTAAAATTATTAACCCTATAAAGCCTAACATACTGTATGAAATAATAGTCTGAAATGGAACAGTTTATTGAACATTAAAACAAAATGTAAAAGTAAATCACGCACAGAAAAGTTTGCATATACATTTTGTTTTGTATAATATTTGATACGTCAGGCTTTTGTGGCCCATATACTGTGCTGATATATGATATAGTGAGAATATTGATCTCACACCTGAGGAAAAAAAAGACAATTTTATTCAGAGGCATAAAACTATTTATATGGCCGAAAGAAAGATGAAATTCTTATAACTTGTAAAATCTAAATCAATTATATCTTTATAACAGTATGGCAGACTACTTACATACAGTAAATTATATAAATATCAGATGTCACGCTATATATACTGTATAGCGCAGGTGTCTGAGCTCACTACCCAATTCCAACAACTGAGATCGCCCACTGTGCCGCCCACGCCGCCAGTTCTCCCCACTCCTAGAAGCACCGAACATCAACGCGAGCCGCGTCTACCCACACCAGAAGCGTATGCTAGTGAGCTCAATCTTTGTAGAGCGTTTTTAACTAAATGCTCCATGTTCTTTTCTCTGCAACCTTTGACTTTTTCTACCGAACAGTCCAAAGTGGCTTTAGTATTGGCATTGCTGTCGGGACGGGCAGCTCTGTGGGGAACGGCGGTGTGGGAGAACCAACATCCTTGCTGCTCTTAGTTCCACAAACTCTTGGAGGAGATGAGACGGGTGTTTGATCGCGCTGTAGCGGGTCGCGAGGCGGCACGCATGTTAGCCGATCTACGGCAGGAGAACAGACCCGTCTCGGATTATTCCATTGAGTTCCGGACACTGGCAGCTGAGTGCAAGTGGAACGAGGAGGCGCAGTGGGACATGTTCCTGCATGGGTTGGCTCACCAGATTCAGAAGGAGATATTTACGATGGAATTACCCACTGATCTTGATGGACTCATCGAATTAGCTCTTCGGGTAGATGCCTGTCTACATCAACGCGATCAGCGAGGACGCCGCCAGCTGGCGCCGGAACTTCCTGAGTATTCCACTGCCAGTTCCTGTAATATGGTCAGTCACTCCTCGGATTATGAACCCATGCAGGTGGGAAGAGCTCGGCTTTCCTGGGAGGAGAGAGACCGTCGGAGAGCAAGGGGACTTTGTTTGTATT